TAAAGTCCGGGTGTGCGACAAGGACGGAAATAGTAAACGATTAAAAATTATTCTCTTCTTTACACGAGGATATCTCGGAAACTAGAAGTCATATCGAGATAAAAGAAAGAGCGTTTTAAAGAGCCAGGATCCCCGTTTCTAATGAGTTTTCACCCATTGACCTAGGATTATTATCTTCGAAGTTATAGCGATTTAAAGTTTTCCTAATTTTAATCGAATTTCTAAGGTATGTTAGCGATAACTCGTGCAAAGTCCGGGTGTGCGACAAGGACGGAAATAGTAAAGGATTAAAAATTATTCTTTTTTTTACACGGGTATATCTCATGAACCGAAAGTCGTATCGACATAAATGAAAAGACGTTTTAAAGAGCAAGGATCCCCGTTTTTAATGATTTTTCACCCATTGATCTAGGATTATTATCTTCGAAGTTATAGCGGTTTAAAGTTCTCTTAATTTTAATTGAATTTCTAAGGTATATTAATAGTAATAACTCAGGAATGCGCGAGAAGGACGGAGATGGTTAAAAATTACTCTTTCCTTCATACGATTATATCTCGAGAACCGGAAATGGTATCAAGATAAATCAAAAAGTATTTTAAAGGGCTTTTATGCTTCCAATGATCACTCATTGACTAAGAATCATTATCTATCGAATCATTATCTATCGAATTATAGCGATTAATATTTTTTCTTAATTTTATATTTATATACTACAAGTCACATAGTGAACACTTTACACTTGCATCTCGTATACTTGTATACTAATGTAATTATTTCCAGCAAATATCAAAACTTAACCTCTCTTTGCTCTCGCGTTAGAAACATGGTTGTTGTTTGGATAAACTCAATTTCTTCGAAAAAAAAAAATCGCGGATTTGTTATCAACAAAAAAGATGTCTTACCATTGTCTTTAGCAACGATGGTGAAACTATAGTTTGCTTTCGCCTCTCTGTCCAATGTACGATCATCGATTCCTTCGAAGTACACTAAACCCGTGGTTGGATGGATTCTAAACAACTCGCTTCCCTCGCCGTGAAGAGAAAAGACAAAGTTTTGATTGATACCCTCGTCTTTGTCGGTAGCCGTAATGGGAGTCGATAAGTTCACTTTCGTTCCGGGTGGACTGTTCTCCATGATTCGCCCTTCGTATAACGGGGACGTGAATTCTGGCGCATGATCGTTTTCGTCAAGAACGATCACGCTTACCTAAGGTGAAATTTATCGAACATTTTAATAAAGATTCTTTCCATCGAAAGAAAATTGGTGAATTTATTAAATTCTTTTCAAATTCAAAATAGAATAATAGATAAACTTTTACTTAAATGTGTTTGTTGAAATTCCCGAATAAGATCGCATTTATGGGATTTTTGTCGAAAATATTTTCGAAAATGAAAATGTTTGTGATTCACATCTTCGAGAAAGCAATTCTATCCTTGAAATAAAAGTGACTTTAATTCATTGTGTTGGAATAATTGTTGTAAAGTATTACTTCGAATTTAAATATTCGTGCAACATCGCATTAAGTGTTAAGTATATATAAATGTTAACGAACTAGGTCTCGTAAATAAGTGTTTTAAATATTACTTAACACGAGTATCGTGTTAAATATTTCGAATACACGCGAGCACGGTTGTGAAAGTTGAATTTATGCGCGCGGAGAAAGATCCTTGAACCGGGCGCAGAAACGCGGCCTTCGTTCGAATTTTTAAATTAAAAAATTTTTGAACATCATTCTTCACATCCTTGGAACTTCTATTAACTTCTACGACCGAATATTCTAAAAGTTGAATATTCTAAAAGTTAAATATTCTAAAAGTTAATCATATTGCAGCTCGAGGACACCTGTCGACGACTGCATAAAAATCGATCAATTTTTGACAGTGTCTTCAAGTGTGAGATGAAATGAAAATGAAATTTTTCCTGTCAATCCTTCGTATCGTATAATTATACGTACTAAAATCCTAATAAATGATATGATTAGAATAATTTTTCATAGTTCTTCTGTTACCTTTCGAATTACTTTTCGAAGTATTTCAAGTTCAAAATTCCTTTTCATGGCATTTCATTCAACAAATATTTCAATGAAATGTACAACTTTTAAATTTATTAAAATATATTTAGAAAGAGAAGAAATCTCAAAAGTAATTGATTAGTTATAACTTTACCTATATTATTATTATATATTTTCTATCTATATATTTTTAAAACGTCTTTCTAATAAGAAATGAAAAAATTCCAAGTCAATCATAGAATTGATTCCAAAACATTGTATAACTTTTAAAGTCGCACATTTATCAAAATATATTTAGAAAGAAATCTCAATAGTAATAGATTACTTATACTATTGCCTATATTAAAATACTATTAAAAGTAACATCCAAGAATTGGATAATCATTTCATAGCCATACAAAAATACATATTTTTGTAAGAAATGAAAAAATTCCAAGTAAATTGAATCCAAAACAAATTGTACAACTTTTAAGCTCGTACATTTATCAAAATATTTTTAAAAAAAGAGAAGAAATCTCAAAATAGATTACTTATACTTTTGTCTATATTATTAAAATAATCACTCAAGGCAACATCCAAGAATTAACAATCATTTCTTAGCCATACAAAAATACATATTTTTGTAAGAAATAAAAAACTTCCAAATAAATTGAATCCAAAATAAATTTTTATACAATTTTTAGGTACGCACATTTATCAAAATATTTTTAAAAAAAGAAAAGAAATTTCAAAATAGATTATTTATACTTTTGTCTATATTATTAAAAGAATTAGAGGAAATTAGAAGAAGTTAAAAAATTAGAGAAATAAAAGAATTACTATTAGAGGAATATACAAAGTACATGCATCATCCAAGAATTGATAATCATTTTTTATCCATATAAATATACTACATATTTTTAATACATCTTTTTGATAAAAAATGATAAAATTCTAAGTGAACTGAATCCAAAAGAAATTGTACAACTTTTAAGCTTGCACATTTATCAAAATATTTAAAAAAAAAAGAAAAGAAATTTCAAAAATAATAGATTACTTATACTTTTGCCTATACTATTAAAATAACAACTTAAAGTAACATCCAAAAATTGATAATCATTTCATAGTCATACAAAAATATATACTTTTATAAGAAATGAAAAAATTCCAAGTAAATTGAATCCAAAACAAATTGTACAACTTTTAAACTCGCAAATTTATCAAAATATTTAAAAAAAAAAGAGAAGAAATCTCAAAAGTAATAGATTACTTATATCTTTGCCTATTAGAGGAAATTAGAAGAAGTTAGAATTAGAGAATTAAAAAAATTGATAATCATTTTTCATCAATATAAAAAATACATATTTTTAGAACGTCTTTCTAATAAAAAAAAAAATTCCACGTCTCTTAATAGAAATTTTCGACCAAAACACTTTTCTCTATCCTTTCACACCCTCCATCCTCAAGAAACCTCCTCGACAAAAGTGGCATCGACATCCCTTCCAATACAATCACCCTTGACCACTACAAGAATCCACCAAAACTTGGAACTTGGAACCTGCTGATAAATTAATTACCACCACAAAATGATAGAAGAAGGACTCACTTGGAAAACGCCGACGCCTCGCGGGCTCTCCGCAATCACTGTGATGCTGTAATTCTGCCTGGTCTCACGATCGAGGCCCTTGGGCGCGTACAGGGCGCCATCCTCCGTGATCGAGATGTCGGGCACATCCTGCTGATTGACGATAAAGAAGCGAGTGGCTGGCGTGGCCGAGCCAGTTCCATTCTGCGGAAGTATTTGGCCGATGTATGCGCCAGCC